TTCACGTACAAGCACGGACAACAATGTACGTACCACAACAGACAGATGATGGTCCAGACATTGGACGACTCAAACCGACACGGACAACATTTGTGAACAGGACGGAACAAGGAAGAGGATACACAATCCATGACAATTGGCAGGAATCAGGAGCAAGACAGCTTGACAGACAATGGACAGGATCAACAAACTTCGAGGAAGAAGCGACGTACAAGTACGAGTACGACACGGACAATGAAGATGAATCTCAACAAGCACAACGCGCCAAAGGGATGAAGGCACCACAACAACCAACAAGACAAGAGAGGCTAGGACATGAGCTGACACATTTACCATACCGCTCATGGTGCCCAATATGTGTCAAGAGCAAAGGAAGAACAGACAATCACCCAAAACAGGCAAGCAAACAACCAGTGATACAAGTGGACTTCACCTACATGAAAGCATTTGGAGACAAACAAGTACTACCAGTACTCACGGCAATAGATGTCGAATCAGGAATGGCAATGGCAGTTCTTGTACAAGACAAGAACCAAAAACAACAATACCTGACACGATGTCTACAAACATCCATGTTTGAATGTGGACGAGCACAAGCAACACTATCCACAACAACGCTACAATCAGACCAAGAAGAATACATACAGAACCTGTTGAAGACAGTTGCACAAAAGCTCGGAAACAACGTCAACATCCGACAATCACCGGCATACTCGTCACAATCACAAGGAAGCATTGAACGATTCCATCGCGCCTTGATGGGACAAGTCCGAGCACTGGTACAACAAGTGACCACAAGCTACAACCTCACACTGAGCGTACAACATCCGGTCATGCCGTGGATCGTACGGCATGCAGCCTGGCTACTGAACAGGTATGCCATGCACAATGATGGACAATCAAGTTACCAAAGACGATGGCAGAAGAACCACAAAGCACCACTATGCGAGATGGCAGAAACAGTACAATACATGATACCAACAACAAGGGCGCAACCCAAGATGGAGCCAAGATTCTTCAAAGGAATCTGGCTTGGCAGGGATACAATGACTGGAGAATCAATAGTCGGCATCCCTGGCAAGGTCATCAAAGCAAGAACAATTCGAAGACAGATCATGCCAGACAAGTACGACAAGCAACTATTGGATACCATCAACGTGTATCCATGGAATGTGCCAACAGTACCGATGGCAGTTCCAACACAATTGCTTTTACCAGCTGACAACACCACAAACAGACAAGCAATTGGCACACAGGCTGGCACCACGATGGAAGATACAAGTACACAGACAGTACAAGAGACACCACTGGCACTACCAGCACAAGCAATGCATCATCAGCCAATGGATACGACAATGGCAACATCACCATTGGCAACCTCTCCAACAACAATGGCAAGACCACCACTGCCATTACCACCAGCAAGCAAGCGACAACATGAGGAGCCTACAGGTGAGGCACAATCCAAACAATCGAGGACAGCACAGTCCTCAACAGCAGTGAACAGAGGACAAGATGAAGAACAACCAAAAGCAAAGATGAGAATACAAGCAGTGACAATCACCACAAGGAAAGGTGACAAGATTACCACGGCATCCTGTGAAGATGAACAAGAAGCAGAAGTGGAAAGGATGCTACAAGAACCCTTTGTCTACGACAATGAAGGTCTTGATCCACTGAAAGTACAACAAGGAATGAAGAAAGAAGCACAATCGATGAAGACACAAGGAGTGTTCACAGAGATGAACTACAATGATGTACCAGAAGAACACAAGAACAAGATCATCGAGTCAAAGTGGGTCAACAAACCCAAACAAGATGAAGTGCGATGTCGCATAGTCGCAAAAGGTTTCCTGGAAACAATCCAAGACCTTGACAACATCTATGCGAGCACACCGATCTTTGGGATCTTGCGCATCCTCCTGACAATGGCATAGCACAACCACTGGACATACAAGCAGGAGATGTGTCAACAGCATTCTTACATGCACCAGCGGCGACAGACAATCTTTACATGTGGCCACCACCAGAACTATACCCAAGTGGTCACGATCAAGCCCAAAATCTTGGCAAGATCACTTTGCACAAGTCCTGCAACAAATGGGACTGACTCGACTGACAAGTGAACCCAACGTATACAGGAACAATGAACAGACAATGTTTGTGATGGTCTATGTGGATGACCTACTATTCCTTGGACAACAACAAGAAGTCGACAAGACCTTCAAAGAAGTACAAAAGCATGTACTATTACGACCAACAGGCACATTGGGAATTGGTCAGACAATCCAATTCCTTGGCAGAGACATTCACAACAATGTTAAATTAACCTTAAGTAGATCTAATTTAGAGGTAGGTGGGTTCAAATGAAACCGCCGATGAGGATGGTGGAGCCAATGCAGATGTGTCACTGCTGAGCAAGTCTAAGGGTGTTGCTTGCAAAGCACGTTGGCTCATGACCTGGTGTGAGTATGCAGCTCAGTCGCTGGTATTTAATTTCCAACACGCCCGTGAGAATAGCATGGTTACAGGATCAGAAAGAAAACTTGCTTAGCGCGATTCATCTTAGTAGAACTCACATTATATATATATATTTCTTTTTTTTGGGGGGGGTCCCAAGCGTTTGTTCGTCTCTCCAGGGTTGTCTGCCACAGTGTTTTTTGAGCCCTGCTCCAAAAACGAAGGCTGGGAAGCCAAGAATGAAGGGCTGGGAAGCCAAAGGAAAGACCGACTCCCAAAAAACGGAGTGCACACAAAACCAGTGCACATAAAAAACCATTCAAACCAGTGCACACAAAACAAAACACAACAGAGCAAACACCGATCCAGTGCCAGTTGGTTTGGTAACGCAATCACATAATAAGTAACGAGGGAACATCCAAAAGCCACATCACTTTCACTTACACAGTGTTCCAGTGAATGGCGCTTCTTTGATCTTCACGAGGCGAGGCAGTGGGAGTGAAACCTGAAACCGCTGAATGTGAAACATTACTGAGTTGAATATTGGCCGTTATCCATCCCTTGAAAAACATGTTCATGAAGTTGGTCATGACATGGGCAGCGTTGAAACTACTCAGAAAGCGTCGCAGGTGGCCTGCCAAGCGCTAGCTGCGTTGGCGTCTCCAATAGTTGTTTTTTCTTTATTGTTGTTTATTGATGGCTTCCCAGCCTGTGTTTATCTGATGGCTTCCCAGCCTGTGTCTATCTGATGGCTTCCCAGCCTATGTTTATCTGATGGCTTCCCAGCCTTCAATAGTGTTTTGGACGGCTTCCCAGCCTAGTTTTGATAGCTTCCCAACTTGCGATGGCTTCCCAGCCAGGTTTTTGATGGCTTCCCAGCCTGGTTTTTGATGGTTTCCCAACCGCATCTCACATCTTTTATCCCTTCCCCAGCGCTCAGCTTCACATGTAAGAAGCTGCCAAAACCCCTGAGTCACACTTAGTACTGCCTACCAGTACGGGCTGCCATGATTTGGGCCCGGATATCGCTACCCATCCATGCTGCAGAGGCTTTCTTGAACCTCATAGTTGGGGAATCATCTTTCACCTCGTCCTTGTAGTGTTCAAACCAGTGCTTCACGAACACGTTCTTGACAGATTGCATGTCGCCACTGATGGCCTGAATGGGTGAGTCATACACCTTTTTGTACACCTTGACTCGCTTTTAAAAACACATGTTTAAGCTTGAACCCCTTTGCCACTCCTCCTGCATCATGTCAGGGTCAATGTCGACCTTCAAGGGCTGGAGAGCATCAGAAGGCGCAACTTCGGATGGCGGCGTGGTCCTGGGAACACCCTTCTTTTCCCATTTCAAATGCCATGCCTTGGAGGATTCTCGGTGTTTCAAGATCTCGCTCTCAGACCTTTTGCGCTTCTTTGCGTTCCCAGAGTCAGCCTCACTAGCAGTAGCAGCTTCGTGAGCTGAGACTTGTTCCGCCAGTGGCCCCGCTGGATTGGGTGAGGCCGGTTTCTCAATTTCAATGGTTTTGGCGGTCTCCCCAACTTCACCATTTTCTGGTTGTCCACCATCTTCAATCTTGGTCTCCTCACTTGGCGCCTCGTAGGGGTCGATCCCACCAAGTTCCTCCAGGGACTTGACATTGCTTTCTTGGGCCACTGGTGGTGGCGGATTCAACAGCTCCGCGAGGTTTTCAGAGCTGAGTTGGCACCTGAAGATCGTTTTTGGTGAGGGATCACCAAAAAGGTCCTCCAACCCAGTGCCCTCATTGCCAGGACGACCATCATCTTGGCTATCTTGGAGCCATGGAGACACCTTGCAGGCCAGGAAAATTGGGGCTGCAACGGAAGTGGATCGACATGATTAACAGGTAACAACGTTAACACAGCTTGATTATGTTAGCGCAGATCTGGCCTCTGCACGCGTCGTAGGAGGGGTGTTGAGGCCCGAAGTCGGTTCAACGGGTTGTGCCAACACTGGTCGATGCTCTTTGAAAAAGAAAAAGGGAGGTGCGGCACTTGGAACATGATGATCAAAGCTGATCGAATGGAAACCGCACTCCACCTGGGACTCCTCAAAGACGACAGTGTTCTCCTCATCGTCCAAAATCTCAACTTGGGACGTCATGTTGCCCCACAAAAAGCCGGTCAGACCTTTGCACTCCCGTTCAAAGCCAAATGCTATAGAATGAACAAGTTCTCAATTGATGTTCCATGGGCAAACTTTGAAAGGTACATAAAAAGTATGATCTTCAAAGGCTAGATTGGCTAGCTCATGCGCAGCAAACACAGTTTTTGCAGCCTTCACTTGTTGCTGCCCACCCCATCAGGCGCTTCACATGTGCTGCTGATCACTGCAGTCTCGCGCTTAGCAGGACGTGCAACATATGCAGCTGCTAGTGTGGAAAGCCATTCAAACATGATATATACGTGTCTCATATATCCACATGATACCCACATGAGCACTGGCTCACATCATGACACTTGGAACAAAGTGCACAGCAGCCCCTTGCATAGCTGCACAAATCCGGAAAGCTTCGCACTCACACAGTCCTTTGAACTGTGCCCTTCTTCAAGTTCAAGGGCGCTGCAAGAAACCACATAGGCTTAGCAGCTCCAAGGGTGTTCTCAGAACGGTATTGCCTCATCCTCCAGACCTGGCTGAAGCCAATAGAAATAGTTCAATAAAAATATATATCATATACGCAATGACCGGGATGGTCTTAGGCTCATGGCTGGGAAGCCAACATATGTATATATCAATACAATGACTGGGATGGTCTTAGACTCATGGCCGGGAGGCCAACATAATATCAATACAATGACCGGGATGGTCTTAGACTCATGGCCGGGAGGCCAACATCTACATATATAATTTATACAATGACTGGGATGGTCTTAGGCTCATGGCTGGGAAGCCAACATACAATGTCCGGGATGGTCTTAGTCACGGCTGTTTTCACATGCAGATACTTGATGAATGCAAGGTTGACAAACCTATTTAGGCTATTGTTGTCAATGTGTACCCCACGCATTTCACTCAGGGCCCCAGACCACGCCTGCGTCATTCCGATCTTCATTTGGTCAACTGCAAAAAAGGAGGCAACGTTGGACGCTCGCAAATGGTTGAACTGAACCTGGTTGGGACGCCAGATCAGCTTTTGAGCCTTCGGCTGCACTTCCAGCCTCAAAATAGCAGCGAGTGACACAACAAACAACACTAAGGTATAGAACATTGAAATGTCAGCCCATCATCAATGACTAACCCAATCACATCACCCAGAAACACATCAGTGGACTGGCCCTGCATTACAGCAGCAGGCCGCGAGTAAGAATGCCCAGCCAGTTCAAAATCCACCATTCCATTGCGTTCGCAATGTTGGATAACCTCTTTGAGACTTTGGACCTCGCCATCTTGCCCATTCTCCTCTGCCAAGATTTGATTTTTATAAAACGATATATAAAACCAATATGTTTGCGCGCGCAATGTTTTTTAATCAATGACAATCCAAACGAACGCCCCTCCTCGAGCACCACACGGACATCATCAGATCGAAATTCACAGAGAACACCACGATGATTGACAGGGGCATTCTCCAGAAACTGATCAGCTTTGCTATCGGTCAGCCAGGCACCCGCACCATATGTCAAGAACGCGTCGGTGGTTGCAAGGCTGTAATCCTGGCTTGCTTCCAAAAATAGCTGGTACAGAGGCATGCCATCATCGTCATCGGCTTGGGGAGTAGGCTCAACCAAGTACGCAGTGAGTTCTGGACACCACGCAAATTTCCCTTTGATTTTGCCCGCGTACTCCTGCTGGAAAGCGCTTGCATCCAACGACGGTCCAAAAAGTTGCTGCCAGTCCAGTGCTGGCGTTGAAGCTGGCCCTGATCCTTCTGCCGTGGCTGGCTGAGACTCAGAGCGCGCTTGCGGAGGAGCTTTCGCAGCTGCTGGCGTTGAGAAGTGGCGGTCAAACTCCTGCACGATCTTGCGCCACTCTGGTGCCCTGACTGCATCCGTCATCCATTCTTGACGGCAATCCCGTGGCAGGACTAAAACCCCGTCAACAAGCCGGCACGAGCTGAACGCTGGCCCTTCAGGTGTGCGAGGGATCTCATCTTCTCCAACCTCAGGCTTGTACTTGGGGGTCTTCTCAACAAATGGGCCATCGTGCTGCTTCCACAACTGAAGCAAATGTTGCTTCATCAGCTTCGTGGCGGAAGTGAACACTTGCTGCTTGTCTGACTGGGAGCAAGTGGGAATCTTCTTGTCCAGGCAGGCCTTCTCCAGTGCTGTGTCGTACAGGATGGCGTTCACAACCACCGTCTCATTGCATCCGACACCTTTCAGGCTCAAGATTGAAAAACCACAATCACAAAGGCAACACATTTCAAGCAACATGTCTTAAATATGAACCAATGCCAATGACCCGTTCAGATGATTCTTCAAGCAATCCAACCCCAGGCCTTTCAAGAGGTCTTCCAAAATCTTGCTTGGAACGTCTGTTCCGCCGAGCCACTGGGCAGTCTCTTGGACATCGGTGTAGTTTCGGCGGCCCTCTGCGCTAGAAATCGCTGAGGTAAGGACACCTGGAACGATGAAATCCTGCTCACTGATAGCTTGGGCAGTTCCACAGATCTGCGCCGACCACAGCTTGCTAGAACAGAATCGGTTGATGTCGGACTTGTCAACCTACCAACTTTGCAAACGTACGTCAAACAAAGAACAATAGAACGCAGAGATAGAGGTCTGATTAAAACGCATGATGATTCTTGAAACGGATTGCCTTCTCAGCTCCCCTGCTAGCGCGATGAGCCGTGCCCTTTGCGGGCAATGTCGAATCCAGCACACAAATGTTCCATTGATAGCCAGCAGGCATCTCCCTGTTACCATTCAGGTTGCTCACGTCGACAGGAAGAAAGAAGGGTCGCAACTCGATCCGGTGTTGAACTAGCTTGTCTTCAAGCTTCCTGAAGAAACACTGGCTGCCCAATCAAAACCTCCAACATGCAGTGCATGTACAATCGTGCAACCAAAGCCTATCATTCACATGTCCAACCAAGATGCCGGATGTCGGCACGCAAAGCTCCACAACCAGCAGCAGAAGCTAGCAAAGGCCATGCCAAAACGACGCAGCTACCTAGGGTCTGACACTTTGGACGCCCGCCAGGAATACACAACAATGCCAGATCAAAGAACTCAAGCTTGATCTACTAAGTTCAGATCCAATTGGATTTTTGGCCAACAACTTCTCGCTCCATGACGCAAACTTGTTCACGTCCTTTTGGGTCAGCACCCCCACTTTGGTGAGGTCGACCCACCCGATCACATTGATCTTCTCTTGGGCAATCTGCAACAAACACAAACTGGGTCCACAGACTGTTGGGAACACAAAATGTACAACAATTCAAGCACACATGCACACAACCTACTAGCCTTCTGCTTCACAGCAGTTGCACGGATGACGCTGTCAACTTCGAGCGGCAAGCCGCAGTCACCCACCAAGCCCATGTAGCAGCTGCTGGACATATGCTCATCTATGAGGTCAAGCGTTTTCACCATGGAGAAAGGTAATGTCGCAGGGACAAAACATCCTTCTCAAACAAAGCGGTAATATAATAAAATACAACGCATTAATTGACCACAATCGAGTCGAGGCACGTTTTTCCAATCTCGTTTTGCTTCTTCTCATGAAGCACTTTCAGCACGTGAGTTCTGCTCTCGATCTTGGATTTCTCCATGAGGTAGTGGGTCATTGCCTGGCAGTCCGAAGCCAGTTTCACTTTGACCTCCTTGAACTTGCTGTCAGCGGCGTTCTCCTGGGCAATGAGCACATCAGTTGACTCCTCCCCTTGGAGACAAGCTGGCAAGGATGGAGGTGTGACGATGTCAGTCCAAATTGCCAGCGAAGACAATCGAAAGGCTGAGTTTTTGGAGGTCACAGCAGCCTCCACATCTTGAAAGTAGTCCCTGAGATTCAAACGCTGATATCAAAGCACGGACACTAGCACTGACAACAAATCTTGGTTTGACTGATGATTCAATCATCTGAGTCTGAAATGGACATGACTTTCATTCAAGTTACTTGGACAAAAATGCATCCATCAACTTCCCATCCACGCTCTTGTCAGATGAGGCCGACTTCGCAGCATTCCGCAGGGCGGCAAAAACGCAGGAAAAGTCGACAAGCTTCTCAAACTCATCACTGGTTGGTCGAACACGGGCTCGGGCAGACAGCCTCACCTTCCTGCACGCTTCACCAAAAGCTTTGATGTGCAGCTGCATGAGCATCTGTTGTGCCCTTGGGGTCACGGTGAGAACCTCTGCCAAGCCATCTGCGCATTGTTTTGGGCGTGCACCCAGCAGCCACCGTTGTGTTCTCAACTGCTCGGTGGAAAAGCAGGAGTCCTTCCATTTGGTGAAGGAAAGGTGTTGGCTCATCAAAGCCCTCGCCTCCTGAAACAAACGCGCCAAACATTAACATGAACCAAAATTAACAAAACTTAATTACAATTAGTTCAAACAGGGCCCAATGTGTGACAACCAGTCTGAAAATCCCTTCGCCTTGCAGCTTCCAATGATGAGGTTGAGGATGGCTTTTTCCTTCTCTCCTTCAACCTGGTGCTTCGGGTGTAAACCAGGACTGGCATTGAACTCTTGGATGACCTTCTTCAGCCGGTTCTCGGTGTTGCCACTCCCGACACTAGCATTCCGCTCCATGATTTTCGAGAAGCGGAGCACCAGTTGGAGCAGATTTGGAGCTTGGCGCTCCGAACCGCGAAAACTGAGGCTCAAGTTGCGGTAGGACTGTACGTCTTTCGACATGCCCATTTCAATCTTGGATTGGCAGCTAAAATCGACAAAAGTAAAAACCCTCCTTCAAAACAACAAAAAACTTGGGTTAAGAAAGAGAAAATGCTGGCCACAACTTTTAAGAGCAACGTGCATGGGCAGCAGCCAAGCCCTGTCGATGACCTTGTGAAGCGGCTGCAGCTTTGCAAGTTGCCCAGGGTCACTGATGTCGATTTCAGTCAGCGCAAGAATGATGAAGGCCACGCATGTGGCACGGGTCCAGCCCTTGATGTTGTCGACCATGAAAGGAGCCATTTGCATCTTACCTTTGCAAACCAACAAGTCAGAACTGAAACAAATTGGTGGCGCAGGCTGGCAACATAAGCGTCAGACAAAAACACGCAGTTATCACAGATATCTCGCACTTTCCACATTTGTCTGCTGCAAAATGGGAGTCCCTGCGTGAAACTCAACTCAGCCAACGGCCAACGGCCTACTGATGCTTGCTGGCATCAACGTTTCCGTGCGAAGGAGTTTCAATCTCTTCTGTTTCTGTTTTTGTCCTTTTCTTGATATTTTCTGCCATCTCTGACAAACGAGGATCACCTCTCCACGGCGGACTTTCAGTCATCAGTCGGGGCGACGACGATGGCTGTGAAGCATGTCCTTCTGGTACACCTCCTGCTCGTTGCTGGACCTGTGCTGAGTTGACACCTGGTGGCGGACCCGGTTGAATTTTCACCGGGATATTCATTTGAGCAGCGGCAGCCAACATCTCAGGAGTGATCGGCCCGCGATATGGAGGCGGCTCCTGCCGTAGCGGCTGCTGCGTTGGGGCCGGATCATGAGGACGACCCTTGCCATCACCAGGTCTCCAAGCGCTTTCCTTCCAATTCCAGCGCCATTGCCCTGTGACATCATTGCGTTCAAATTCACCTGGGCATGGAAAGAAGCAAGAACAACAATTGAAACTATATGACACTAACGAAACTATTTACAGCAATAAGCAATCCAATATCCACTGTATCATTGTAGTCTAGAAACCTTCCAATGCATTGGCCGCCACTGACGTTGAGAGTTGCATGGCTTGTTTCCATGCTTCGTACCAGTCTTGGTAAGACTTCCCCTTTCCCTTCTGGGAGGTCTGGTAAAAGAAGCGCAGCAGATCTCGGTACTCTCGACCCTGGTTCACGTGATTCATGGCGCCCAGCAAGGAGCAAACGCGCAGCTAACAGTGCGTGATGACGACAAACTGACTTATTGAGCCAATTCTATGAAATTTCATCAAATTTCACCTGATTGCGTTCCACTGGCAAATTGAACCTGTATGAAATTGCTTCCAATTGCATCCAATTGCTGCCTAAATGCCAGTAGACCCGTCCGGCTGGAAGTCAACCTCGCAATCACTTTTCATCATATACGTTTAGAGCCACTCAAATTTACAAGCGTTCAAGCAGTGAGCCCTCGACTGAAACGTCCAGTGGCTCTCGGCCCAATTTCCAATCCATCCAGCAAAATTGATTGGACAGTGTGAATCCAGTCGTCTATGGACGGCAATCCATCCTCTGGCAACTCATACCTGAGCAAACTTAAACGTGTGTGAAGCAGCCTCGTGATTCAACAGACAAGTTTAGGATTGAACTTGGTCTCCAGCCTCAAAACAGTCAGAGGAAGTTTAATGGTGTCATTCTTGCAGTGCACATCGATGGCCTCAATGCATTGTTGATAGCATCATTAATTGGTGACATGATTTAATGCCAACTTTACTTCTGAAGACCTGGGACAAGCACGCACTCGGCAAGAGGTTTGAAGGAAAGGCCGCGGTGGTCAAAGTAATTGTTGAACCAGTCCTCCACCTTTTTGGCGTAGTGTTCTTTGTTCTCTCCCGTGAAAACGTCGAGCACTATCTGAACTGGGTGGACGCAATCGATGTTGCCACCATCAGCAGTGAACAAAAGCACGTGGTCCACCAGTTCCTGCGCAGGTTCAAAAGCCGGCAGAATATCACAACATGCAATTTGTAAATCTATGCGATCAAATGCTCATGATTGACTCAAAAAACCGTTTTGAGTGCCTTCACAAGGGAGGTGTCTCCAGAAAGGGCTTTCACTTTCTTCTCCAGCTCAGACGCCAACTTCTTGTTTGGTGAAGGCGTGCTGGATGTAGGGGCCTCTCGCTTGACACCCTTCTTTTCATCCTCTTCCTTCTTCAGCTTTGAGCGCGCTGTGTCCAGCAAAGGACAGAACCCACTGGGCCGAACTTGCAGCGCAGTGCTCGGCTCACCCATGGCCCAGTACACTGTGACACAGTTTGCAATCCCTGCAAGACGTCCCGCAATCCCTGCGATCTGAACTGTTTCCAAAAATTCACATTTCAATCCAATCGACCTCGAGCCTCCAGGTACATTGGAAGTGCTGGTATGTGATGCGCACAGTTGGACAATTTTTTGGATTGGAAACTTGAAGTCAATGCTCGCATCCCAACCACCCCAGATCCAATGCCCCTGGAGCCTCCAGGTACATTGACTTCAAACCAAAATTTTACTAAGTTTCCAATGGAGTATTTTGGTCTGTCTGGTGATGTTTTTACTCAGTGGCTGCCAGCCCTGGAGGGTGTAGTAGGGGTGTCCCTACTGAAAGTGTTCGTGATACTGTACCCACCAGAGCCCGAGCCCTCACCAAAGTCCAATGTACGTGGCGGCTCCATGTACATCGGAATCGCCGTCAAAAACAGCCATGTACATCGGAATCAGTCGACCGGGGCCTCAAGGTACATCGGAATCTGGAAATGAAAGCCTGAACGACATCGGACTTGGCGTCACAAATCAAGAAGTACATCGGATTTCATGTCTGGAACCCACTGGTACATCGGATTCTCGGACCCCAAAAGTACATCGGAAACTAAGATCGCTCACCCAAAAGTACATCGGAAATTGTGATTTGCAACCCCAAGTACATCGGAAAGTCAGCCTGTGAACCAGAAGTACATCGGAAATTTGTTAATGACCTCTGACTGCAACCCACTGCTACCTGACCAGTATCGGGCCTCAGAATAGATCTGCGGTAGAGCAGCAGCGCCTGAGCCACCATTGAATGGGACACAGCGCCCTTGTAATTGTAGCAAGTGGCTGACTGGTGACCGGGCCTTTGGCTGAAGATTGGAGAAGTGGCAACCTGAGCAAAGAAGTCGATTCAAATCAAATTGAAATGGTTCAGCTGCTCAATGAGTTCAATGAGCTGTTTCAAGCCATATGTGTATACTAATTTATATATCTATTGAGCTTCCCAGCCATGAAAAAGCTTCCCAGCCATCGTATAGCTTGCCAGCTGCGTGGGGCTTCCCAGCCAACATAATTACAACATGTTTATCTGTAGTGAGCGCTTTAAGATTTTTCCAGCACAAGCACTCTTCCACGATGCCGCGACGCATCTGCCTAGCCTAGTGGTTGACATGTTTCTCATCGCCTGATCCCTGAAAAAATTGCCTTCAAGGGCATAGCAGGGGCAAGAGCGTCCACAACACTCTAATGTATTCTGAAAACAGGCTGCCCAACTCTATCATCACCTGGCCGATCGTGCCAGGGCAATGCCTGCAATCGCCCTTCATTCCAATATTTGTTCTCCGCCAAATCCTATAGAAACGCAGTTCGAGGCGATCAAGAAATATGGTTGAACATGTTCATTCAACATGACCGAGTTTTAGCCAAGAATCTCTCAAGTACTGCGTCGCCCTCGCATAGGGCGCGCCATAAGCAACATGGATTGCATTGGCCAGCTCAAGCATGTCCAATCGGAACCTATTATTGCGATTGGACTCCATCCTTGGCTCATTATAAATGCAGTCCACTGAACGCATGGGGCCCCAAACTTACAAAACAAACCATCATCGTCCACATCAACTCATGGCAGCATGGGAAACAACAAGCACGATACATTTAGGTTCAATCCAGCTGCTTTGCTTCTGGCTTCATAGAAACTCCGCCCACTCTGCTTTCGGGGAGTACCAGCAGAGGCTTCTGACTCAGCTGTGAATCGCAGATGTGACGCTTGACCAAGCATACAATGTCCTCTCGATGAGGCGCCCCCCTCCAAGATCCAGGGTCGACAGTGGAGGATAGTTGATCTGGCAAATCTGACAGGGAGCGAACTTGACAGGTGGCAAGTGGCAATTGTATTTAGATGATGCACTGTGTGTAGCAACAAAACAAAACACTCGCACGCTAACTGCTAGGAACTGGGCACAGCAACATACGTGACAAATCAGCGTTTAATGTCTCATGTTGTTTCCAAAGATGATTCAAAGCCCTCAGATGCCCTCAGCAAAAATTGCAAAGCCTTTCCGACTCATCAGCACGAAGACATGGTTGGCAGTGGCGTCCACAAGCAAACCCCCTTCCAGTGAAATGCCCATGGCACGCCAATTGTCGCGCCAGTTGCGGACCACACTGAGCTTCTCAACGTGAACTTCGGTCATCGATCCGACCCAGCTCCTGACCCCAGGTCTCATCAACTCCTGTTGCAGGCATTGAACCACATCGTCTGCCGTAAGGAGTTGGTCTGTCCTTGACACTCTCCTGCTGAGCACTCCCCACGCTTGGTCCAGCCCATCGTGGGTGTGCGACTTGCGCAAGAATTGGAGCGACGCTAGGCGTAGCTTGCGGCGACTGATGAGCTGGCTCAAGTACTTCAGATTATGTTGATTCTTCAGCTCGCGGACAGTATTGTCCCCTTGAATTACCTAGAGGCGTGTTTGTTAAACTTTTTTTGAGCGTCATCACGTTTGG